TGCTGAGACAATTCACCTCAAATGCTTTATCAAATGGTTTGTCTACTTTAACAGTCACAAAAGTAGTAGCAAGGCAGAGCTGTTCTTTGTGGGGATACTCATTGGACAAATTGCATCTGTCATAATTTGCCACTGGAAATAGATCTCAATCCTATCCTGTGAGATCTCTGACTAGCATAAACTTGTGTTGCATTATACTTTGCATGTTGACTCCGTGACCTGCCTGATATGCAACAGCCACTTGAGGTAAAGCAGTTCTATCTGCCTTCTGACTGGCAGTGCCCTTGTCTTGTCCTCTAACTTCATACAGTGTTGCTAAGATAAGAGCATTATTTCTGGTCATAAGCTCTTTGGACTTGTGCAGGGAAAACACACTTATTTTTAACCACGAGTTGCTCTTCAACAAAATGTGATTAGGTGGGCTTGTTCATACAGGTCTATTCCAAGAGCAGTTCCTTAGATTGCGGAATTTCTGGAGCAACTCCTCAGTTGGTACGATGCCATCCTTTCACATACATCTGGGGGATTACCTCACTTCATGTCATCTCAGATCCTAGGCTAGTTATTGTTGAAGACAGTGTTAAACTTTCCCTTGCCAGAAGTGCTCAGAGCAAGGCACCTTCTCTCCAAGAATTACATTTCTCCCTGGTATGACGTCCTGCTTTGGGAGCGACAAAGTGAACGAGGTGAACCTCAGTATGAGAACTGGCCTTTAGAGTCTTTCTCTTTTGAAGAGAATCCCAAGGAAGGTGTCAGAGGATGAAGGAATAGTTTATTAAAATTAATTTTATGTATGATATATACAGGGTACAGTTCTGCATTTGCTTGCAATATGGCAAATGAGTAAGCGAGGAAGATGATGAGTTGTGGCAACCAGCTTTTTTCTAATCTGGGAGCCATATGCTAACATAGGACGTGATTGCTCTGGGCAACCAGAGGCATGCACAGAGGGTAAAACATACTGCTCTTGCAGATGAGTACCTTGCACTGCCTTCACTCTCTGTTTAGGTCTGGTGTCCTTAAAGAAGGAAAAGTCCTCCAAGATATGGGGAGAGAAATAACAATCTTATTGAAACTCCATGGACATTTTTATTTCTTCTGATGCATTTGAAAACTACCTCGCATGCAAAATTGAGGAGTGTCCTTCCATACGTATGAGAGTTGACAGCCAAATATAAACCCGCTGCTGGGTGGTGTGTGTAATAAGCTGTCTGGGGCCTCGACTGCCTCAGATTTACTACAGCACATTTCCTTGGTGCTGGCAAATGTGGTATGTGAGACTTTTTGGAGTACTAAGTTGCAATTAGAGACCATTGCAGTTGGAGGAGGAAAGAGCCCTTATGGAGGTTCCTCATGAGAAAGAATCACATGCTTTGTTCTGTGTAGAACAAAGAAAGTCTATCATTGCTATTTATTTCTAATTACATCCAGAGCATTCTCATCTCAGCCAATTTCAGCCATCTAAAGATGGAAGTGGCTAGCCTTCAGTAGTATATTTATCACAAGAAGTCTGTTTCCAAAGGAATTAACAGATATGAAATATATAAATCCAATTAAAACTCCTTAATGCATAATGTCTGGGTGCCTGTGCTCCAGCATCCACACACAGGATTAATGGTATCCACCTGGAACAGAGCCAAATGTAAACCTTCTCTTCAAATCCAGATTCGCATCCCGCTTTCCCTGTAGTGCAATAATGCTCAGGTATTCCCTGATTTGTAAAGAGTTTTGCTCTGGTCTGTGAGTATGGTGTTATCCTTGTAGTTTTGTTCTGGATCCTAACTTCCCAGCAGTTAGGATTTGGTTCAGTGGTGAGGTCAGGATTTGGTTCAAGTCCATTTCTACTGCTGAACTGACACAATTCTCTTTCCTGTTGCTGGGCTATTTTACTTGTTTCATTAAGCAGAGGAGGAATTAATGAAGAGTAGATCTCTCTCTGATTTGAGAACATATCCCTAAAGAGATTTATGATTTTTTTTTTTAATAATAACTTGCATTTTTTCTTTCTGTTGTCATTTGCTTATAGTTTTGTTTTAAGTACGTGGCTACAATATACGTCATTCCAGTAAGTTTACCTTGACAGATAGATGTCTTCATATTTTTTCTTTCACAATTTGGATGAACCTATTGTCTGGAATCAGATTTATGAAACCAGTATCTGTTGTAATATTTGTTTTCTCAGAATGTTTTGTAATATTGGCTTGAAATTATACTTTGCCAAAAATTCTTGCCAGTAAATTTATTTCTTAAAGTAAGAAACATTTTCTCAGTGGACAAAGTTAGACAAGAAGGAAAATACAGAAGGGACATAAGTTGAATTACTGTTTGAATAGGAATAAAAAATAAGAATTATTTATAGGATTTTATTGTATTTCCCAATTCTAGAAATCAGACATCTGATGATGACCAGATGCATAGAGGAACTGTACAGGTGAAGGGCAACATCGTCACCAGATTATTTGAAAATGTTCATGTATAATTATCAAAACAAATTATTCATTGGTTTCCCAAAAATTTTAGTGCCAAAATAAAATAAGTAATTTGTTCTAATTTAAAGATACCTTTTTCCTTTTTTTCTGATTTCACAATCTTCAGAGGAAAAGTGTTTTAAAGAGGTGGAAGATTTGTGAAAAGAATTTTTGGAACTTTTCAGATTAAAAAAATACCAAAGAAACCACCTCCATTTGATCAAAAGTAGATAATTACCCTGGGAGCAAGTTTTTAATATTTTTGTGCATTTCACTTAAAACCCCACACCTTTTACTATGATGTAGCATTAGTATTGTTTCTTAGAGCACTGTACACAGTTGGAAAAATAACAAACATTTTTGACATTTTAGAATTTTTTGTTCTATATTTTGGAAAAAGTTAAGTTGAGTGAAAAGATACAGTGTTGACAAGTTTTACTGGGGTAAAAAAAAAGGAAAACTTGTAGTGCACATTACATTTTTCTGCATTTTTTGCCAAACAGAAATTTTAGGAAAAAATAATCAGTTCTACTGAGGATCTGACGCAAAAAGATACAAACATGTCTTCAAAGAAGGGATGTAATGCAGTGAGATTCCACGTCAGAGTAGATGCTTCAGTGTTTAGTGGCAGCATTGCAAGGCTGTTCAGTGTTTAATACCAAAAATGTCTAATGTGCAAAGCTGATTTTACTGTTCAAGCCACTGCAAACAGCTTCTTAAAATGGAAATTTGTCTAAGATGCAGTGATAAAGGACAGCAACTGCCAAATAATAATATAAAGAAAGATAGAAGGAGAAGTATTTGGGAAGTATTTCCAATGACAACTTGTCATTAAAATTAGCCTTACTGTGAAAGACTTTTTCTCCCTTCTTGCTATTTTACCAGCTTTGTGTGTTGCAGTGCAAATGTCAGGCATTCTTTCTTTTTGCTTGCAGGGTCAGCTTTTACAACATCTGATAACCTGTCCCTCAGTTCCTGGGTATCCTCCTCAACCAGTTTTCCCGGATTTCAGCATCCACAGTCTTTGAGTGCCCTGGGTACCAGCACTGCATCCATAGCTACACCCATTCCTCATCCAATCCAAGGATCTCTGCCTCCATACAGCCGCCTGGGAATGCCTCTTACACCCTCTGCTATAGCCAGCTCCATGCAAGGTAGTGGCCCCACTTTCCCTTCCTTCCACATGCCTAGGTACCACCATTATTTTCAGCAGGGTCCTTATGCAGCTATCCAGGGACTGCGTCACTCCTCTGCAGTGATGACGCCGTTTGTATGACTGATGTAAGACAAGAGAAACACGAGATTTTGAACATGCAAGTTTGGTATGAAAAACACATGGGACCTTCCTGAAAGGCCTGTGGCACGAGTGCTGAACTCATAACAAACCAGCTAAGAAAATGCATTATGGATATAGATTCCTCCGTTGAGGGATCACGAGAGGCAAGCATGCAGCTTGGAGCTGCTCACAGATCAAGAAATGGATCCCAAAGTTCCCAGGATTTTTGGTTGCGTGCAGCTTGTTCCAAAGGTGCATTATACCTAGTGGAAAGAGATTATGTTTATGCAGCAGTGTACAAATTAATTGTGTATAGGTCTTTTTTCATACGCTAGAAGAATTCTGAAAAAGGCAATACTCTGACTCATCTTCATCTCTTCTCGTGACTGATGAGCATCTAAACAGAAAAAATGTATTGCTATAACTTTGAGCATGTTTTAGGCTGTCTCAGCATACATTTGCTGGGAACGGGACAAAGTGGAGAAGGCCACTGTCCTTTTTAAAAGACTGGCTTATATTCACCAAAAGCAGTGTTTCTTAGTTGCTACTATAATCCCAAAGAGAAAATTATTAACAAGCCTTTCTTTCTTTGTTTCTTTCTTTCTTTCACAAAACACTATCAGTTCCAAAAAAGAACTGTGTTACAGGACTGTAGCAGTAATGATGTATTCTGTCCTTCAGTCTAAAAAAAAATTTGTCCTGTATCCTAGGAGGAGCAATTTAACTGTCTATTAAGGTATGATGAAGGAAAATGTTGATTTGGGAAATTCTGTTACTTAAACTTAGAAACCCAAGATATCAAGTCAATGCTTGTTTGCTGCTGTGCTTGCCACTGAAGACCTGTTTCTAGCTGCAAATATGTACCAAGATAACCGAATTTCAGGCTAGATCAGTCTATAGACTCTCTAGATCAAACTATAATCAATGGACTGGTATAAGATGAGTGGCATTGGAGTATCCTTCTACTTGTTCTGATTTTCTTGGGTTTGGTCATGGCTGTTATTATACAAGCTGTTTGGCCAGGAAAATGAGGGTTGTACCATCTGTTTTTCCATGTCCCAGTAGAATGGTGGAGTTTCCTTGGGAAAATATCAGTGCAGAACTTCACATGTAATTTTTTTTATTCATATCTGCCTTTTTGAGTTAGTGATTAGAATTCTCATTCAAAGTACTGTCCACTTTTTCTAGTATGTTATGGCTGATGCAACAGAGGAACTGTAGAGGTATAACAAAAATTGACCTCTCTGCAGAGAGCTAGCATGAATCCTTTGCACTGCTGAAAAGAGTACCAGTGCGACGCTGGTTTTCTGCATGGCGGGAGCTGGGATTTCACTGTAAATAAGAAGTCAACACAGAGTTTCTGTGTAGAGTTGCATCCAAGTTACGGATGATAACACATCTATTGATAAAAAAGAACTAACAACCTAATCTCATATGTTAAGGATCTGCGTAGAGCTGGAACACAGAATGGAAAACAGACTTTTTTGGCACCATTCTCCTCTACTTTTGACCAGTGTGTGTTGGTAGCATATGGTAAGAAGCGGAGTAGCAGTGCACTGAGTCACCTATCTCCCATCTCAGTGAAGTGCAAGGCATGTCACATGCCTTTTTTCTTGTCCCATTGCCTCGTCTTAAATGCCCAGTCACACAGAGCAATGACAACCTCCCAGGCTTCTCCCAGTTTCTACTGTAGGCCAGTACTTGCATCCCACAGGTAAGGGGCATCTTTATGTATTTTCCAGTAGTTGAATTTAAAATCTTGTCAAATTAGCCATTTCAATTACCTCAGTTATCTGCAGTATCATCCTAATCACTGTTGGACCTCCTGGTAAAAAATGACCTGAGGCAATTTGCAACTTTTGTGCTCTGCATAGGAATGAAAATGAACTCTTACTTACAGTGTCTGGGTTCTGAGCTACTACAAGGAGCTTCATAAATGCATATAATAAGCTGAGCTCTGCAGTATTTAAATGGTTTAAAATCAGACATTGAATTTGGCTTGATGTATCCAAATATTTGATTTTGCTCCAGGCTATCAGATTCACCTGAACAGTGCACGTTGCAAGGTTGTGCCTATTCATGACCTGTTTTGATATAAAGTCCTTATTTTTCAGAAAATTAGATGATACTGGCTCCACAACAAAAAAACCCTCTTCAAGTACATATATGATTCCACAGAAATGAGAATTTCAGGGGAGATTTGGCAGAAAATTTTAATCCCTCTCCTTCAGTTGCTTGACTTCTGTTAGAGTTGTATGAAGGTGCTATGATGACATGCACTAAAGCCTGTGGCAAAATTCTGTTTCTTTTATCTGTGTCCCTCTGCAGCTCCATTAACCTGTCTGGAGTTGCAAGGGATATGGTTAGGTTCAGAATTCAAGCCAGTAGCTTTAATGCTGATACTTCCATCAGGAAACAGTCAAGTAAGTGGGCAGCTTTCACATGACTCCAGAAATAAGTTTGGAGCAGGCAGGCTAATTTAGACATGCTTTACAAGTCACATAATGCCTGCTTATACATTGACCTGTCCTTCTTTCATGAAGCAAATTCAGAGAAATAAACTGTACAATTTCTTTAGCCCTGTCCCAGTCCCTGTTTGGAAAACAGCAATATTTGGCATGCAGAAATGCCCCTGATACTGTTTCAGGGAAAATTCTCCAGGCCCTTCCTGGAGAATGAAACCAGGTTTTGACAACATCATTTACAAAAATATTAAATGAAAGACAAGTGCTTTTCACTACAAATAAAATGTGATATATATCTGAAAAAATATGGCAGTAGACTGTGCCTATATAAAACATGATAAGGCCAGCTCCTCATCCAAATTCTCTGTGATGAGTTTCATATTGTAGATGATGCAGAACTAACTGTTAAAAATCCACAGCTTGATTTTTCCAGTCTCTCTCAGTGTGCTCATCCCTCCCCACACTGCTCTCTGGCATATGCTGCTTTCCGATAGTTTAATTGCATCAGAAACCCACTGGGTTCCCTGCTAATGCAGAATCACGGGCAGATCCCAAGCAAGGGAACAAAGACAGCTTGTGAGAGCCTTCCCCAGGAATAAGGTCAATAGGTATGTCCAGTTCTCACCTCCTCTTCTTTGCTCTCACAATCTTACCTCCAAAACCTGTTGTGCAGAGTTGAGGTGGAAGGGATTAAGTTCACAGAGACCACAGGATGCCCAATGAAAAGGTCTTGCCACCTTGCAAGGTTTCTTCTCCCTGTCTCTCTCACTGTCCTGTGGGCAGGGGGCAGCATGAGA